GGGACTGGCAAATGGAGAGACATCAGCTGAAAGTTCAACAACTTCACCCAAAAAAATAATGAGTCCTATCTACACTTCGAGCTACAAGGCAAGACGAGGAATGTCTAGATAGAGCAGAGTGGACTGTCCTGAAAGAAAAGGAATAGACCAAACAGGAAGGGAAGAGTAGCAGCATTCTGTGTAAAGGAAGTTGTATACACTCCATGACCTGGAACATGAAAGGCAAATTGAGAGTATAATAGTCAAGGGAGAAGCGAACTACCTGGATATCTGCTGGGACTCAAACTCTGCCAAGACTGTAAAGTCCAACCCATTCCTCCATTGCCTTGCTGACAAATCCATTTCCCAGAAGGTGGAAAAAGCAACAAGGGGGATCATCTATCTTGGACCTGGTCTTCACCAGCAAGGAGGAATTGACCGACGAAGTACAGGGAAAGTTGGGATTAAGCGATCATGTCCTCCTGGGTTTCATGATACAAAGGAAAGTGAGAGGTATCTAAATAAATTGGTGTGGCTGCATAAGGAGCTTACAGATGAACTGATATTTAAGGGCATATATATGAAATGGAAGACAGGGGAAATCAAGAAGCAGGTGTATAACATGAGTAGCCAAGAGTTGCAGGGTGACTGTTGGGCAGGCCATAGCTCAGAATTTGCTCAGTCTTGCAAGAGAGGTAAGGAAAGAAAATACCAGTATTTAAAAGATTTCTTAGGCTATGTTTGCAGCAAGGGGAAGAACAAGCAAGTGGTAGGTCCTCTGCATGGAGAAGATGGAGAAATGCTATTGGGTGGCAGAGAGAAGACGGAGCTGCTCAACACCTACCTTGCCTTTGTCTTCATCCAAAATAAAAGCAGTGCTCAACCTGCTCATAACAGAATAAACCACGCCAGGAGGGAGCTGCAGCCCAAGAGGAGGCAAGGAGACACCTAGCTACTATAAATGAAGTAGGGCCTGATGAGAAGCACCCAAGGATGCTAAAGGAGTGTTCCGGTGTATTTTCAGAGCCTCAATCTGTAATCTTTGAGAATTCTTGGAGAACAGGTGAGGTCCCTGCATACTGGCGGCAGGCAAATGTCTCCATCTTCTAAAAAGGGGCAGGGGGAGAAGACTTGGGTAACTTCTGACCGGTCAGCTTGATGTCATTATCAGGAAAGGTCCCCATAACAAATAATTAAACAGTTGGTCTGTGAGCACTTAGAAAAGAATGTTGTGATTACTAAGATATAAGATGGGTTTTTCAAAAGCAGGTCACTGCTGATTAATCTCGTTTCTTTCTTTTTTTATAGAATTACAAGCTTGGGGAAATGCTGTGGACGTAGTGTATCTTGCAGTAGTGTGCAGTGAGTTTTTTCATAGGGAAACAGTTGGAGCCAGAGGTGTCAGCTTCTCAGAGCGATGGGGGGAGGAAATGATGTTGCACATGTGAGCATCCTAAGCTGGGCAGAAGCTTACTGAGCTTTGGGAAGTAGGCACTATTCTTGCAGAGACGCTGGTAGAATGTGGTCTGGACATGACAACTGTTAGGTGGGTTTGTACCTGGTTGGCTTGCCGAACCCAAAGAGTGCTCACTAATGGTTCTTCATCATCCAGGAGAAAACTGACAAGTGGGGTGCCGCAGGTTTCTGTCCTGGGCCTGTTGTTCAATGTCTTTACAAACATATTGGCTGAAGATATTGAGGGGATGCTCATCAAATTTGCAGATGACACCAAACTGGGAGGAGTAATTTATGTTGCAGAAGACAGAATCAGGATTTAAGATTGTGGTAGATTTTGAAGTCAAACCTAACAATGAATATCTCTGCTAGTTAGTAAATGAAGAGATTAAGGACCACAGTGCTGTAATTTGCTAGAAAATGCTTGGTTAGGTTATGTCCCCTCACCTTCAGAAGTAAAGGTTGTTTCCTGTTCCTTTCTCTCACTATCTGTCTCTTTCTCTCTCTCTTTAACCATGTAACTGAGCAGACGTCTGAGGTTGGGGCTTCAGACTCACATTGCGTGCTTGAGACCAACTTCTATATTTTGTAACCAAGAATACTTTGCCTCTGTTGTTTCTGCTGTAACATTGAACAATGCATGAGTGAGACCTCTGATTACTGTAAGTAAAGCATTTCAACTTACTTAAGGTTGTTGTCTATTCATTCTGAGAGGGGTAGAGGTGGGAGAGTACTTTGTCAGTGCTCTGTACTGGGATATTTAAAGATCTAAAAACCTATATTTCCTGCACTTTGCAAATGCTGCACCTACTTCTGTTTTAAACTTTGTGGCCGGGGGCAGCAGCTGCTGGCTAAAGGGTGAGTCAAGCCCTGCACTTTTTTGAATAAAGGCAGTCAGCCATTTTTTTCTTTTGCAGTTTCCTACACATGTGGGAAGGGACGCGGGTGGTGCTGTGGGTTAAACCACAGAGCCTAGAACTTGCCGATCAGAAAGTCGGCGGTTTGAATCCCCACGACGGGGTGAGCTCCTGTTGTTCGGTCCCTGCTCCTGCCAACTTATCAGTTCGGAAGCACGTCAAAGTGCAAGTAGATAAATAGGTACCACTCCAGCGGGAAGGTAAACGGCGTTTCTGTGCGCTGCTCTTATTCGCCAGAAGCGGCTTAGTCATGCTGGCCACATGACCCGGAAGCTGTACGCCGGCTCCCTCAGCCAGTAAAGCGAGATGAGCGCCGCAACCCCAGAGTCAGTCACGACTGGACCTAATGGTCAGGGGTCCCTTTACCTTTACACATGTGGGACTTCAGCATTAACCTGGTCTTCCCCAGTTATTTCCCAGCATAAGGTTATGGTGGCCCAGAGTGAGAATAAACCCAGAGTTGTGAAAACATTTTGCAGAGACTTTTGACCTTTTTGGGTGATTTTTTAGGCTTGATTTTAAAGTGCACTCAGAGAGATTGTATTTCTTAGCCTCAAGGTGAAGGAGAAGCTTTCCCAGGCAATCTTTTGTTTGCTTTGTTTCTATTGTGAGTGGATAAACTCACCCCTTATTTGTCTATCTACTCCTCTAATGCAAAGCAGTTATACTAAAGGATTCTTATTCTGCTCTGTGCTTTTTGCTTTGGGGTTTTAGCAAAGAGGATTAAATAATTTTATTTTACTTTTGGAGATTTTGAGAATGGTTTTTTTTTTGTGATTTTCCCTATTTTTATTTTGGAATATTTTTCCTTTCTCTCCCCCCCCCTTTTGGGAATTTTTCCATTTTTGATTTTTCTAAACTGGATAGCAGGAATTCCATTGTTGAGGAAAGTCTCAAATTACCTAAGCTTACACGAAGCAATTTCATCCAATGGAAAAGACAATTAGAAGCCAAACTTGATATGAAAGCTATTTTATAATGTATTGAGAAAGTGAAACCTAGTGAGGACAAAGCCTCAAAGGAGTGGGAACAAGAGAATAAATTGACAGTGCCTATCATTCTGGATACTGGGACGCGGGTGGCGCTGTGGGTAAAAGCCTCAGTGCCTAGGACTTGCCGATCGAAAGGTCGGCGGTTCGAATCCCCGCGGTGGGGTGCGCTCTCGTCGTCCGGTCCCAGCGCCTGCCAACCTAGCAGTTCGAAAGCACCCCCAGGTGCAAGTAGATAAATAGGGACCGCTTACTAGCGGGAAGGTAAACGGCGTTTCCGTGTGCGGCTCTGGCTCGCCAGAACAGCGATGTCACGCTGGCCACGTGACCCGGAAGTGTCTGCGGACAGCACTGGCTCCCGGCCTATAGAGTGAGATGAGCGCACAACCCTAGAGTCTGTCAAGACTGGCCCGTATGGGCAGGGGTACCTTTACCTTTTTATCATTCTGGATAGTATTTCAGAGACCCAAATGGTTCACACAAAAAGAGATGATACAGCTGCTCAGGTGCTTGAAAAGTTGCAAAAAGCACTTGGATTCACAAGCAAGGGGTTCCCACCATGCCTGGGTGAGAAATCTATTTAAATTAAAACTTGAAGCAAAGAAGGACTGTGACAGTCACATGACAGAGTTCCTAACCATTATTGAAAAGCTGGAATCTAAACAATACAAAATGGATGAGGAACAGAAAGTTTGCTATTTCTTGAGGTCACTAGGACCTAAATTTCAAAACTCTCATGGATGACAAACCAAACCTAAGGCTAGCAAATGTGATTGAGCACCTGAGAGAGGAAAGTGTGGAGAGACGAGCAAGCTTCCCAGCCAGGGATACAAGACAAACTATGCGTCTCAGTCCCAAAGGAGAGCCAAGGCTACACTCAGAAAAATTGTTTGCTTCAAATACAGCAAAGAAGGTCATATTTCCAGATTTTTGTGTGTGTGTGATGCCCAAATTCAGGAAGATCCCCTGCATTTAAGCAAGCAAGCCATATATTACTGGACTTATATGAGTTTTTATATATATATATAAATCTTTGGAGGCATTAACAATATTGACCCATCAGTGGATGGCAATATCCAAGCTGCAGATGGCAAAACCATAACAATATGTGGTGCAGGTGCAGGAGCCTTAAATTGCAAGCTAAGCAGTCTAATGAGAGAGAATCCTGTGGAACAGTTCCTGTTTGTCCTACAGCTGTATTGCAGCATGTTCAATGTATCCACCTTGGACAGAAAAAATGGTTTCTGTGTGCAGTTTGAAGACTGAAGATGCCAGGTTACCGGAGATGGTGAATTATATGTTGAGACTAATATCACAGAACCTCAGAAGCCTGAAGCAGACCCAGAGCTCTGGCACAGAAGGCTTGGCCACAGAGGCATCAAAGCCATTAGGGAACTGAAATGCAAGGAGCTTGCAAGAGGGGAGAAGGTACTCCAGAGTGCACCAACTGCAATGAAGTGCGTAAGTTGCCTAACTGAGAAAAGTGTTAAACCGCCCGTCCCCCCGTCCCCCCATATACTCAACAAAGAAGCACCAGAGTGCTTGATGTAGTCTATAGTGATGTATGTGGTCCACTGAGTGTTTCCTTGCTAGGGAAAAATGAGTACATTTTATTTTTTCTAGATGACTTTTCAGGATACTGTGTTCTGTACCTCCTCAGGGAGAAAAGTGAGACAGTGGATATGTTCAGAAAGTACCTCGCCATGGTGAGCAACAAGTTGCAGAGGGAAACTACAACTCTCATGAACGACAACAGTGGTGAGTTTACTTCAAACCACATGAGATCCCTCCTGGAAGAGGAAGCCATTACACATGGGAGGAGTGTTAGTCACACCCCACAACAGAGCTCAGTAGCTGATACAGAGTTTATGGAGATGACCTGATGCATGCTGAGTGATGCTGGCCTCCTCAAATGCATGTGGGGAGCTGCAGTATCCACTGCAGGGTATCTCCAGAACAGACTGCGGGGGCAGCATGCACACCTTTCGAGCTTTGACATGGAAGTGTACTTAACCTATCACACAGGCATGTATTTGGCAGCATTGCCTATATACCCAAAGAGAATAGGCAAGCTGAACTCCAGGGTAGAACGAGAAACTATGCTAAGATATACTTCTGGAGGCAAAGGTTACAGGGTTATGGACTTAGAAACAGGAAAGGACAGTGCAAGAAGAGTGGTTCATTTTGATGAGCACAGTGAACAGTAAAATGCTTTTTCTGGTCAGTGAGAGGAAGAGACACAAGACCTCAAGTACTTTCCTGAATTGATAAACAATAGGCCAGGTCTGCCTTCTACTGTCACACCAGCTAGCACAGATTATGAACAGGAAAAAGAAGCAGATGAGCAGATTCCAAGTAGCAGCAATACTACAGGGGAGGATACCGGTGCCTGCACTGGAGGGCGATGAGGATGCTGAGGCGGCTGCAGACACTCATCGAGACCCAGCAAAAGTATCCCAGCTCCATGACTGTCCTACATTGCAAGGTCTGCACAACTCCACCTGGGAAGAGATTAAGCAGATGCCAACTGCTGAACAGAGGAGAAGCCTTAAGATACCTTTACTATGAATGCTCAAGCGATGGAATGTTTGCTCTTCACACAGGAACTCCCGGGTTTAATCTTCAGGAAGGACTGGGCAAGACCCCCTACCTGAAGCCCGGAAGAGTTGCTGCCGGTCAGTGTTGACAATACTGAGCTAGATGGGCCAATGATCTGATTCGAGAATAGGCAGCTTGCAATGTATATCTGTGTCTGAGAGTGCCGGATATTGTTCTTGGATAAAGGGGAGGCATCTTCTCCTGCATGTAGCATCTGCCTGGTGTGGCATTCAAGTCTGAGAGGAGGTGCAGAGCCCTGAATAAAATCCAAAATAAAGCCGAGAAGAGCATGGGCCTGGCTCCCTCACTCCCCATGGGGCCACCTCCTTTCCCGTACACCTGCTTGCAAGGCGGCCTCTTACAGAGGCCTCCAAGTTCCAGAGTGCCTGTCTAACGGGTTCGTTAGCTGTCGCAGATTCCAGCCAGCTGGCACTGCAAGGTGGGCTGGAGGCACCGGCGGGTGTTTCTGCAGAGCTTCGCCACCGTCTGCACAGATTTAGAAAGGTTGTGTCTGTGGGGAAAGAGCTTGGCATCCTCTGCTTGAAAATTAAAAGGATGAAAGAGACCTCTTCTTATTCTGAGGCTCTGCCACCAAGCAACAACAGAAGCTTCCTCTATTCTGTCAGTGATTTGAGTGATTGGTAGATGATAGATAGATAGATAGATAGATAGATAGATAGATAGATAGGTCAGTTGGTTGGTCGGCTGGTTGCATTTATAGCCCACTTTTTCCTCCAAGGAGCTCAAGCGGGCAAACATGGTTCTCCTCATTTAATCCCCACAACAACCCTGCCAGGTAGGTTAGGATGAGAGGCAATAGCTGTGACCAAGGGCACCCAGTGGCCAAGAAGGGATTTGAATCCTGGTATCTCCCAGGTCACTTTAGCCACTATACTGTACTAGCTGTGATTTTTTATTATTTTTATTGATGGGGAACAGGATCTGGATGGCAGGCCAATTCTGACAGATAGGTGGGGCTGTCCCGCTTTCAACCACTGGAACGTGGGCACAATTGTTATCATATGGCACGGCCTGGCTTGGACTGTACCATGGCAGGCTGGAGAAGACTTACATGTAAAAACCTCACTGCACCCAGAGCTCCTTCACCCTTGTACTCCCTGCTCCATGAGAGTTTTTTGGTCATAAGGACATGAGAAGAGCCCTGCTAGGTCAGACCAATGGCCCATCTAGTCCAGTATCCTGGTTTCACAGGAGTCAACCTGATACTCATTATGGGAATCCCCCAAGCAAGACCTGAGCACAAAAGCACTGTCCCCTCCTGTAGTTTCCAGCAACCGTGGAGGCAGAGAGCAGCCATTGCCCTCTTTGGAAGCCATCTAAGTTGGTGGCCATCACTGCCTACTGTGGGAGGGACTTCCACAGTTTAACTGTGTGCTGCATGAAGAAGTCGTAGAATCATAGAACTGTAGAGTTGGAAGGGACCCCAAGGGTCATCTAACGCAACCCCATGCAATGCAGGAAACTCAACTAAAGCATCCGTGACAGATGGCCATCCAACCTCTGCTTCAAAACTTTCAATGAAGGAGAGTCATTTCTTTTATCTGCATTCAGCTTCATTGGAAGTCCAGGAGTTCTAGTGCTAGGACAGAGGGAGGAAAACGTAACAGAGGAAATGACGGGTGGAGGGCACATGGCCTGAGAGTTGTACCCTGTGCAGCTTTGCAGAGATCCAGGCACATGCCGTCGGAAAATCTCATTGCTACCCCAATCACTGAGGCCACTGCTCTGGCCCCAAGCTGCAGTAACTACTCTGTTGCCTGACGGTCTGGCTCCTAACTCTTTACACCTCTTGTGTCTTCCAGGGTGTTAATGGAGAAGAGGTCGAATGACAGCCGGGACTGTGGTCATCACAGGCGGAATATTAGCGACTGTCATATTACTGTGTATCATAGCAGTTCTCTGCTATTGTAGGCTTCAGGTATTTCAATTATAAAAGTGTGCGGGGAGAAGGGGTTTTAAAGGAGAAGAGGCAAAGGTGGGTGAAGCAACAGGTGACCACAGAGCTATGAATTCCGGAATGGTGTAATGATCAATCAGTCTTTCCAGGGAACTGTAGCTGTGAGGGGAAGAGGGGCTCTCCTAAGAACTCTCAGTAACCTTATCAAACTACATTTCTTAGGATTCTTGGAGTGGGGGGGGGGCATGGCTGTTTAAAGTGGTATAATAGTGCTTTAAGGCTTGGGCCCAGGCTCTCTGCAGGAATGTATTCTCCCATACATACCCGCCTGGGCTCTGAGTAGCCCTTTGTTCAGACCCACCACACCCACACAGGCCCACTTGGTGGGGACGCAGGAAAGGGCCGCCTTGGAATTCCTTCCCTTGAGAAGCCAGACGAGCTCCCTCTTTGCTCTCCTTCCACTGGCAGGGGAAGATTGTTTTATTCCAACTGGCCTTTAAGAACTGACTGCTTTTTTAAGGGCTAATAACAGTGCTGTGCTATTTTTGCTATCTGTATTTTGATAGAGTTGTTTTTATATTGTTTAGATTCTATTAGAATTTAATTACTTTTAAATTATTTTCTTCTATATGTTTTTAACTTTTTTGCATTTTATCTCTGTTGTTTTAATTTGTGTAAGCCACATTGAGCCCCAGTGTGGGGGAAAAGTGGGATAAAAATTATTATTATTATTATTATTGCTGTGTACGCAATGTACATTTAAAGCACATTCAAAGTGCATCCTTTCCTTCAAATAATTCTAGGACCTGTAGTTACAATTCCCACCAACCGTTAACAAACTACAGTTCCCAGAATTCTTTGAGCATGGGCAGCAGGAACGATGTGCAAGCTTGGAGTTTTTGTGGATCTCGTGGGAAAACATCAATGTCAACCTGAAAGGGAGACATGGTGAGACGTACAGCCACCTTCTCATCAAATCCCTGACTCTTCCCCTCTTTTCCTCCCCCAGTATTACTGCTGCAAGAAGGAGGAGTCCGAAGAGGACGGAGATGAACCAGACTTTGGCATGGATTCCCACATCCCGCCTCTCCACTGCAACCGCAACGTGGCTCTGACGAACGGCCCATCCTTGTACCGATCTTCCTCCTCCCCCTACAAGAAGCACTCGCAGTGCCAGACAGTATGCCCCAGCTGCTCACACTATGAGCCGCCCACCTTCTTCCTCCAGGAGCCAGAGGAGGAGGAGGAGGAAGAGGAGGAGGAGGTCCAGAATGGGGGCGACCTCATCAACTACAAGGCCATCAGCCAGGAAGACCTGGAGCTGCCCGTCAACATGAGTGGCCTCCAGGCCCTCAACCCCAACCGCCTCTCAGCCATGCGGGAGGCTTTCTCCCGCAGCCGCAGCATCAGCACGGACGTCTAATGAGTGCCAGCAGCCGTGACCCGCAGCTTGATGGTGGGTAACGTTGGTGGCATACATATCCTGCTGATTCCTGCATTGTAAGGGGTTGGACTAGATGATCCTTTGAGTCTCTTCCAACTCTCTAATTCTTTGGTTCTGTGAAAGGGTGTTTCCCCTCCCCCTTCCCTAAATACCCTTGTGGCTTAAAAATAATAACATGGCGTCACTCTTTTACAGGACAAAAAAAATACCCACAGAGAGTCTTTTAAAAATGATGAATGTATTTATATGTTAACGATGGATAATTATCTATATACCTATTAAATAATGCACTGTATAAAGGGGAGGAGGGAGAATTAATAGACTTGATGGGTGCATATAGGTTTTCTAAAGTTTAGTGTTGACAATAGTTTCTTTTATATCTATATTTAGCTATAGATAGATATAGATAGATACATACAGTGGTACCTCATGTTACATACTTAATCCGTTCCGGAGGTCTGTTTGTAACAGGAAACCACTCGTAACATGAGGTGCACTTTCTCTAATGGCGCCTCCCACTGCGGCCATGCCGCCGGAGCGCGACTTCTGCTCGCATCCAGGGCAAAGGTCGCAACAAGGGGCATCTACTTCCAGGTTAGCGGAGCGCGTAACCTGCAGCATTCGTAAGGGGGATGGTACATAACATGAGGTGCCACTGTATCTATATATAGATATATATAGATACAGTGGTACCTCGGGTTAAGTACTTAATTCGTTCCGGAGGTCCGTTCTTAACCTGAAACTGTTCTTAACCTGAAGCACCATTTTAGCCAAAGGGGCTTCCTGCTGCTGCTGCACCGCCGGAGCACGATTTCTGTTCTCATCCTGAAGCAAAGTTCTTAACCTGAAGCACTATTTCTGGGTTAGCGGCGTCTGTAACCTGAAGCATATGTAACACGAGGTACCACTGTATATGAGAAGATTTTGATACAGGGCATCCTTTTGTAAGCGTTAGATTTCCCCCCTTTTCATTTGCTGTCATGAAAGTCTGCAAGTATAAGGCTATGGTGGAGGGGGGCAGCTCTATGGCAACCCCATGCTTCATGCTGAATTGCCGCTGTGCCCTCCTTTATTTTCTGACTGGGTGATGTGCGGTTGTTGCCTGCCGTCCTGTGACAACTTTTCAGATGTCTTCTAGAACCTTGGCTGGAGACAAATTCAATCTTGCCTTTATTTTATTTTTTACTAAATAACAAGCCACAAATGCCACCCAACCACCTGGCACATAATCTCACCTCATTAGGACCCACCACCTCCCAGGGAGCAAGCATGGACTTCTAAAGAAATGACCTCTGGATATTGCCATGAATTAAAAGAAGAAGAAACAGAATATTGTCAGAGTTAATGGATTGAGCTTTCCAGTCCTGGTGAGGGGAATCTTTGGCCCTCCAGAAGTTTCTGAACTACAACTCCCATCATCCCTTGGGATCTCTGGGCATGCTTGCTGGGGCTGATGGGAGTTGTGGTTCAGCAACATTTGGAGGGCCAAAGGCTCTCCACATCTGATTCAACCACACCATTTTAGCACTTTTGACTTTGGTGTGCTCCCATCTTTGAAGAAAACAGGGAGATCTATTATTATTGTCTTGCTTAGCACCATTGTTCTACAGCAGAGGTGGGGCGGGAGGGTCAGATTTGGTCCTGTAGGTAGTGGAGGCTGGCCTGTTTGCATCAATGGGGCACTGCCCCATCCACCTCAGTCTAGGAGTGTGCAGCTGTTGCACTCAGTTTGCATTTTAAGGCAAACCTACCCAGTCTTCAATTTCCAATATGATGCACGGCCCAAAACACAGCTATCCTTTGAAATTTGCACTTCTCTGAATTTTGCAATCCAGATCTCCAGCTAAGTCCAATGCAGTTCTCCAGCCAATGTCCAAAAATGCATATACTAGGGTAAAATGTGCATATAAAAATGTATCTGTCTGTGAAAATGCATTATATTGGGAGAAATTCCTTTGCAACAATGTATATGTTAGGAAAAACCGCATACACATATGTGTATGGTATAAGAATTTTGCACTGGAGTGCTGATGACGTGGAAATGTGGAGAACTGAATTTAAGAGTGGGAAAATGAGAAAATGATGGGAAATGAAGATTGACAGGTCTGCACAGCCAGCCAGAACAGGTGTATTAAGGTTTTCTATTTGCCCCCATTATTCTGCATTAGCTGCAATTCCCAAACAGTCTTCAAGGTGAGGCCCACATATTTCACATTGCAGCAATCTAACCCAGAGGTTTATCAGAGCATGGATTGCTGAAGCCAGGCTCTCTGTTGTGCAAGCCATAGAGAAAAATGTGGTGGCATTACTCCAGTACCATGGCTACTCCTTACGCCCAGATAGGTTCTTCCCACTCACGGCCCTTGTCAACTCAGTACCGTGTTTCAACACTCATGAATGGGAAATGTGATCAGATTTAAAATGTACTAAACACCTGATGCTAGCACCCCTCTGCAAGGAATTGACAGAGGAGTAGCTGATCATGCAATCTTGTTTGGACAGACAACCTTATATGGGGTCAAGTTCATGTTTCTAATAAAAGCAAAACTATTTTAGGGAAGATCTGCCATTATGTGACCATGTTCTTGCTCTGCAGGATATTACATTGACTTAAGTAAAGGTAAAGGTACCCCTGCCTGTACGGGCCAGTCTTGCCAGACTCTAGGGTTGTGCGCTCATCTCACTCTATAGGCCGGGAGCCAGCGCTGTCCGCAGACACTTCCGGGTCACGTGGCCAGCGTGACAAGCTGCATCTGGCGAGCCAGCGCAGCACACGGAACGCCATTTACCTTCCCGCTGGTAAGCGGTCCCTATTTATCTACTTGCACCCGAAGGTGCTTTCAAACTGCTAGGTTGGCAGGTGCTGGGACCGAACGACGGAAGCGCACCCCGCCGCGGGGATTCGAACCGCCGACCTTTCGATCGGCAAGTCCTAGGCGCTGAGGCTTTAACCCACAGCGCCACCCGCGTCCCACTTACATCGACTTGCCCCTATCCAAAATTTCAGGAACCCTCCCACAGATGCAGCCTTCAATGCAGGGAGCCCCTTGTTAGATTGAATCTGTAAGGGGAGAATAGCAAGACTGGAGATAAGTTCAGCAAAAGGCAAGGAAACCAGGTTCAGTCAACAGCCATTCACATAATGAGCTCCATCTGGATTTCTTTTCTAATTCCATGGGGTGGGGCATCTTGAATTAAAGCACATTGCTCATACATGAGTTCAAGAAACATTCATTTCACGAGGAGCACAGGCAAAAGAAGTAGCTAGTGAATTGGGCCTTGCGTTCTGGACACTCAGCAATTTGTGGAAGATGTCAAAGAACTGTTTCGTTCAAACAAACATTTGGACTGCATTATAGCTAAAAGTGCACCCTTGAAACAGCTGCTATCAATATTATATTAAATATTATAGAGAGACCCTGCCAATGGTTCGGGGTTGTACCAAGAGATTTAAAACAAATAAATTTTTAAAATATTTATTTAAAATAAATAATGAGATTTAAAATAATTAAGTGAAAAGACATCCATCTTGCCCCGGCCTACTTCCTTGAAAATAATGCCCAGCTTGGCAAAATTTCATGCTGTGAGCCTGAAGAGTCTTAATTCCTATGGTCCTCTGTAGTTGCTCTCATCCGAAAACTCTCATAAAAAAAAACTTTGCTCTCATCTGAACGCTCTCATCATAGCCTAAGATCACAACCACACCATATACTTAAAGCTCTTCTATTGCTCTTTTAACAGCTATGGCTCCCCCACAAAGAATCCTTGTAGGGTAGCTTGTTAAAGGGTGCTGGGAATTGTTGGAACATAGGAGGCTGCCTTCTACCCAGTCAGACCCTTGGTTCACCTAACTCAGTATTGTCTGGCTGCGGTGCTCCAGGATTTCAGGCATGAGTCCCTCCCAGATCTACCTGGGGATTGAACCTGGGACCTTCTGCATGCAAAGCGGATGCTCTGCCACTGATCTGCAGTCCTTGTATCTCTGCGAGGGGCCTCCTAGCAACTCTCAGCATCCTGAACAAACATCACTCCCCCCCCCCGACTGTTAAATTGGCTTGAGAGTGCTTTAATTGTATGGTGTGGGTGTGCCCTAGAACACTGGGACCAACTTGTGGCCTTTTCAGTCAAAATTAAAGCAGGTCACCTCAATCCTTCCAAATGAGCTTCACAAGCACTTCCGGTTTGAAAGCACAAAGATGGAGTCCGTTAGCAATGTCATCCGTTTCCTGGACTTGTAAAACTCCACCCAGGAATAACTTTGCAACGTTCAAGGGACTAACATTCCAATTGGTGGTTTGGGGTTCAAAGCCTTCAAGGTTGTGGAACTTTATAGAGATGGATGTACGCAACCTGAAGGGGCGGGGGTGGATGGTTGTCCAAAGTGCAAAGTATATTTCTGCAACATTGACTAGAAACATTGGTATTTTATGTCAATGGGTATTATTATATCAATGGACATGCCAATTCTGTTACTGCTTGGTGTCTTCCTCCCCACACCCATTGCCTGCCCCCCACAGCCATCCAGTTTGTGACAACATTCAACAGACCGGTGTAGAGCTTGTCTGAGGCCCGGGGGCTAAGAGTCTAGTTAGGATAAAGTTATAAACTCAGACAAAAAAGCAGCTGGTCCCTGGTGGCGCTCCCAGCCAGCTTAGCCCTCTGAGACTCAGGACAAGTGTACCTGGCTACCCACCCCACTCCACCCCACCCCCTGCACGGGCCTGACTCTCACTATCCTAGGCCATGTCCTGTATGACAAGTTTCCATTTTGCTGTGCTCAGTCTTTGAAGTGATCTGATGTAATTGCAGCTACTTCTACAGAACTCTGGGTAAATTTTGTACAACTCTTCTTAAAACTTGCACTTTTTTCGATGGCATTTTTATTTTCAAAAAGAAAAAAAAAGCCATTTGTTGCATTAAAATTGTGGTTGTGTTTATTATCTTCCTATTATTTATTCCGTGCTCATCTTCCCAACCCCATGGGCCTTCATTGTATATCTTTGAAATTAATTGAAATATTTCATGGATTTTCATTCATTTTGCCTTGTGGTTATCTTGTACAGGCCTTCTGGACTCTTAAGAACAAAAACTTTTAAAAAAATAAACCTATCTTTGACTTTGTTCTCGAGGGAGAAGTGTGCTCTTTTTCATGACACCTGTTTTTATTTAAGAGCGGGTCCATTGAAAGTAATGAATCAGACTATTGGTCCATGTAGTTCAGTATTGTTTACACAGATTGGCAGCGGCTCTCCAGGGTTTCAGGCAGAGGCCATTCTCAGCCCTCTCTGCAGATGCTGCCAGGGACTGAATCAGGGTCCTTTCACATGCAGAGCTGATGCTTTACCACTGAACGATGGCCCTTCCCAATTTAAGTTAGCCTGCTAACTTAGTCATGTAAATTATTTTCAGTGGGTCTCCTTGAGTAGGATTATCATTGAATACAGGTATTCAATGGTATTCTATGTGGTGCAGAATATGGCAACCTGAAAATTTCACCTTCCTTCCTTCCTTCCTTCCTTCCTTCCTTCCTTCCAAGAAGGAAGTTTTCTGGACCACCGTTTGCAAAATGTCTGCTAGCTAAGGCTCATGGAATACACCCTTTTAGTGCAAGAAGAAACATCACTCTATTTCAACAGAGCTCACTTTCTCCACGAGGCACTATAAGCAGGTCAGTCAGTTCAGTCAGTTCAGTCAGTTCAATGCAGTCAGTCATTCCAACCAGAATGTGGATGGCCCCGGG